TAAAATGGGGTAAGTTTATAAACTATAAAGTACCTTACAGATATGAGTTGGTATCTTGCTAACCTCACTTTCTACCATTTGCCCTTTCTCCTGTGTCTGTTTCCATGCATCTGAAGTCAAAATTAATATTAACTTTGGCCTCTTGCACACGTTGCCTCTGGTAATTTGTTCTCTTGACCTGGTTTACACTAGAAGTCTATCATACTTGACATAGGCATACTTCTCCTATATGTCAGATGGTTTCTCTTAGCAAACACCAAATACTTGAAAATAACTTAACAGACAATTTCTTTATGTTCTTAAATAATACAACTACAGTTACAGAACTCACTAATTCAGCTGGTGTCTTCTCTTTAGTTAGTTGGGAGTTAGTTAATTTAAATAGACTTATTTGCAAATGGAATGGTGTCCCAGAATAGTGAAAAGGTCAGACACATAAATGTGAGTCCCTTAGTTGAAAAATCACTTAAGTTTTTTGAATAAAAATGGAATTATATTTTTAAACCTTTCTATTGGGAAATTAAAAAAAAATGGATTCTGAAAGCCACATAAAACAAATGTATAGTTTCAGTTATTATAAGGTAACACCCTTATAACTCTCACCTGAATTAAAGTCTGGAACACTGCCGGCTATGTGAGTAGCCTCTCATGTGCTCTGTCTTTTCCCCAAAAGGAAACACTCTCCTGATTTTCAGTAATCACTTTCTTTTGCTTATTTATAGATTTATCACACAAGTGCTGCTCAATATAATAGTTTAGTCTTGCCCACTTAGTTAAATTTAAGTCTCTCTTAATGTACCCCCACTCCTTCCTTTTCCGTGTTGTTTCTCTGTCGGAGAACCTGGGACATTTGACCTGAGGAGTTCTCTGCAGCTTGGGCTTCTTTGCTTCTGCACTCATGGTGCAGTTTACATGTTCTCCTGTTCTCAGAAGCTTGGTCAGCTTCATCTCTGATCCTTTGGCAAGTCTAAACGTGGTCTTGTGTTCTTCCATCAGGAGATAGGGAATGTCTAGTTGTTTCCCTTTCTGTGATGTTAGTAATTGCTAATGCTCATTGGCTAGATCAGTGGTTCTCAATCAGGGACAGTTTTGCCCCCTCCCACTCTTGGGCTTATTTGAAATTTTTGATTGTCACAACTTGAGGGGAGGTTGCTACTTGCATCTTGTGACTAGAGATGCTGCTAAACATCCTACATGCACAGGACAGCCCCAGCATAGAGATTTGTCCAGCCCCCAATTTCAGTAGCGTTGAGGTTGAAAAATCCTGGACTAGGTGTTGTAAAATGGTATTGTTCCAATTTTATAATTTCTTTTTCACTTGTTAGAATACTTTTATAAAGAGACGTGTTGCCTCAAGTATTATTTGGTTGTCCAGTGGTACAGTTCATATAAGAGATAGAATTTAAATGCTTGATTCTTTTGTTTACCAGTTTTCAGGATAATGGGTTGATTCTTATCCTCCACAGGTGGTCATTTAGTTGTTTTTTTAAAAAAGTGTTATTATGAACATGTGGATTAAATATGGATTTAAATATGGATTAAATATATAAATTGGATCCATTAAGTATGGATTTAAACATATTTGAAGAGTATCAATCAGTTGCAATTACTGTTGCTTTTTCAAGTTCAAATTGTCCCATCGTCAGCCAGTGGGCGCTTCTTCATGTTGGTTCAGAGACCTTTGAGATGAGCCTAGTAGTCTTTGATAGTTTTCTTGCTATTTGGTTATGACAGGATGTTTCCAGGCTCATCTTGTACATTTCCTGCCACTGGCTTGGCATTATCCATTTCTTGAGAAGCTCTGGTTTCTTTTCGTGGGGAGTGGTATTTCCAGACCATGGCCTAGTCTCTAGGGATGCTCATTGTACTCTGTTGGTCATTGTTTCTAAGTCTCTTTAGGGGATACGGCTAGTTACTTATATATGCATATAATTGTGTATTTTCTTTTTGTTAAGCTAAAATACATTATGAGTTCATACTGATGTTTCAATTCAAGTTCAAGAATACGGATTTTAAAATATTGTTTAATTAATTTTTTTATATTGCACGTGTGTCTCTTTCTCTATACTGAAAATCCTGGTTCTCGAGGACACAGGAACAGATAGAAATAGAACATCCCTTAATTACTCATTTGCTTTATCCTGCCTTACATGTGCAACAGTCTCACAATAATAATAATTCTACCACCATCAGCTTAATGAGAAAATTAGGAAAATTAATTTTGTACCTGCTCTTCCCATTCTCTTCCTATTTTTTTAATCAATCACTATGTATCTACATTCCCTGAGCATATAGCTGCTATATATTGTTCTCTCTTTTTAACTCTCTTTTTGTTTCATTCTACAGATTTAATGCTCACCACCAGTACTCATGTCAGTTGTTAGTATAGTAATTTTGATTGTTTAAACCTATCATCTAAGTGATTACTAAGGATAGTCTTATGGGAACAATATTTTTTGAGTTCTTGCATGTTAACACTTTATTTGTGTTCTTTACACTTTAAAGTCAGTTTCAATGGATGTAAAAGGTTTGGTTCACAATTTCTTTTCTCAAGTGTATTAAATATGTTACTGTATTTTTTTCTGTCTTCTTAAATTGTTACTGTCACGATCTGATGATAATTTGATTTTCTTTCCCTTTCAATTAACTTGCTGGTTTGTTTAGATACTTTTTCCTTAATCTTTTTTCAAAGAACTTTTTTCTTAAATTCCAGTATTTTTACAAAAATAAATTATTATGTTCGTTGATATTTTTAGCTTTGTGGTGTGCTTTCAGTATTTTATTTCAGATCTTTTTTTTTATTTCAAGAATTTTTCTTGAATTGTAGGTTTTAGTATTTCTCTTCCCTTGATTTGCTTTTCTTCTTTATATACTGCAATTATCTCTATGTTGGGCCTTCTTTAATCTTCAATGTTTGTCATTTTATTTTGAATTAGTGTTTTTTTATTTTTTGGTGAAAAATTTCCTCCTTTTTCTCATAAGGCATAATCAGTTGTTTATTTGCTCTTGTGTTCATGGTTTAGTATTCATTTCCTAAAAATTTTTTTAATTAAAAAATATTTTATTTGAAACAATTTTAGATTTACTGAAGAGCTGCAGAAAGTACAAAGGGTTCCTATATGCCCTTCCTCCAGGTTTTCCTAATGTCACCATCTTACATAAATAACCATGGTACTTTTATAAAGTGGGTTTTAATTTGTAATTTTTCCTTTGTCACCTCATTTGAGGATTTCTAATTCTGATTTATGTTTTTCTTTCATCTTTTATATCTTTGTATCATTTCCTTAATGTCTTTTAGCTTGTTTTGAAATAGAATCTTTCAGTTTTGATTATTTCTCCTGAATTATCTTTCTGGCATGTTTTCATTGTGTATAAGAGTTTTATTCTGCTCTGCGTTCTTCTTTTTATCTTCGATAACTTCGGATGGGGCTTGAAGCTGTTATGGGTTTGATGCTTCTCTCTCACTTGTTTTAGTAAGGTTAGTTTTGTAGGAGGAGGCATGGTCATGGTAACTTTTGACAGCTCCTGTTGTTGTGGCCTGGTGACTGAAATGCAGCGACTTGCTTTCTGAGGTTTCCTGGCTCCTTTTCCCCCTCCTGCGTTTATTTGGACCTTCTCCTTCCTTCATCTCTAATTTCTCTGTCTTAATTTCGATTACATTCATGGCTGCTTCTCCTCGGCCTGGACCCTTGTCCCGGCAGACAGCCTGGGTGTGTCAGTTTCAGGAACTTGCAGGGCTGTCTTTCCCCGCCTCCCTCAGTCTTCCTCGTGGACTCTTTGCTTCCGTCTGCTTTTGGAATGGACAAGATTGCTCCCAATCAAGCCGTTTCCCCACTTGGCCTGCCGTGTTTTCCATGGAACACTTGCTGGGGATTTCAGGGTCTTCCTTGGCATTTTTCCAGGTGCCCCACCACTTCCTCTTCTCTACTGCACAAGCCCTGACACCAAAAAGGTCTTGGAGCTACTGGGGGTTGGTACTCACCTGCTTATCTATTGGGGGTGATGCTCTGTTGACCCCTGGTTTAGTTGTGACTGCGTTTTGGTGTTGCTGTCTGCTGCTCTGTCCACTTTATGTTGGGAGTCTGAGGAATTCAAAAACCATGCTATTGCCACCGTCTGGAATTGTATTTTGAGTTTGCTTTTTCCCTACTTAATGAAAGTCATTTAAAAATTAACTTATCATGGTTGTGTTCCTAACAAATGTTTCTTCAAAATTGGCAGCTCTCTCCATCTAATTTAGAAATGGCTCTATTTTATAATTAGGTCAGTTTCTTTTGAGATGCAAAAGATACTTATCTACACTGTTGTCAGCAGTTTTTTCTCGTCTGAAAAAGCAAAGTTGGTGCATCTTTCTTCAAACTCATGCAGCTATTATGCTGTGCAAAGAGACCTTAAGTAAAACAGGGTATTGTGGGAGGGGCATGATGCGATTTACATTTCCATAGGCCAACTCTGACTGCTGTCGGGGGGAGTAGAAGGTAAAGGAACCACAGTGACATGGGAGAGCAGCCGGGAGGCCTCTTCATTAGTCCTGGAGGGAGGTGACAGTGACTCAGACCAGGGTGGTGCCACGAAAGCCATTTCTGGATATACTCTGAGAGCTAACAAGATTTCCTATTGGATTCGATTGGGCTCTGAGACAAAGAAAGGACTTTAGGATAAGTCCTGGATTAGACTGGTAGGTAATGTCACCAAGGAAGAAAAAGATCAGATGGCAGTGATCTGAGAGGTTTAAATAGGGTCCTGTAACAGAGAGCAGTGGCTTCTTCAAATTGGGTGAGGAGGTGGCTTTTAGACTAAGTTAAAGTAGCATGATGGAGCCAGCCACCCCAGTGGGTGGGGAGGCGATGCAGGCTGAGGGAGCAGCTCACACAAAAGCCCGAAGGTAAAGGTGGGCTGGGCATCAAGTGCTCCTTCCAGTTAATGTTTTTGAATAAAAGCTTCTACATTAAAAAAATCCAGCTAACTTCTTACTTAGAATCTTTGCTCTTACCTTTTAGACGGGATCAGTGTGAGCGGCTTTCCACTGTGCAGTCCCTTTCGACAGGTCGTTAGGCCTCGAGCGGAGAGCAAACCTGTGAACCCGCCTGAGGGCAGCAAGCCTGGAGACCCGAGCCACGTGAAGGTGAGTCGGCCTGCACACGCACAGTCTGGCAAGTGGCTTGTGCTCTTGGTTTCTGCCAAGACTTTTCGGAGGCAAAGTTTTGAGTATTTTTCAGAAAGGAATGGAAGTGTTATTTGATAATAGAACCGTGTTTGTGGAAAGCTAGCGTTTCAGTATTTTTTAATTCTGTGGAATGTTTTGGAAAGCAGTTACAATGAAGCTTGAGTGCATTGTGTTTTTGTGTTGCTAACTCTTGTTTCCTTGAAGCATTGGGAATTTGTGGGTTGAATCAAGGAATGCAATGATTAAAGTGGAATATTTCCTGCCTCTTTTCCTATTCATTTGAAAAACTTATTTATTGCATAATTATTGCCAGTTCAGATATTTATCCCATAAACTTTTCCTTAATCCTTTGGCACCTCCTTCCACTCATTGGTTTATAAGCACTAAGGAAGCCAAAATGAATCTACAAGTAAAGAGTGTCTATCAGTGCAAAGTTGAGGTCCCCAGAGTCCTCTCCAAGGAACTCAAGGAGAGGCTGAACTGGAGCTCTAAGGTTTTGGGTCATCAGCATTTCGGAAAGCTCTGCCTGTCTGAGCCTGCCCAGGGAGAGTGTGTAGAGTGAGAGGACTAAAAGTCTAAGAGCCATGGCTGGAGTGTGGACAGCAAGGTCGCCAAAATGACTTTTCACATAGGCATGTGTTCAGGCCTGGCCTTTTGGAGTACTGCTTACAACCTTGATGACAAAACTTAAGAGGGCATCGACTGATGAGGCCCATCAGAGGAGCCTGGCCAAGCTTGTTGTGAGTCAGTGGTACCACGAATTTTGAGGAATTGGGGCTCTCTGATGAAAATAAGATGAGGGATGGAGGAACACGGACACTGAAGTGAGGTCACAGCTAGAGGGAATAAGCGGATTTTGGCGGACAGGGGTCTTACTGAAGTTATGAGGAGCCAGGTTTTAGGGGAGAGTCTTCTCCATGTAGGGCCCTGCAGTAAGGAGAGAGGTTGGTGGTGTGGCTGGGAACTCTCCATCACGGGGCATATTCACACAGAAGCCTGATCGCTATGTCTTAGGGCTCTTGCGTTAGCCAAGGGGACTGGGATGTGAGAAGATGCTTCCCACTGGATGGTGTGAAGGCACAGAGGCCTGAAACAGTGACACAAGCATGGAACTACAAAGTATTTGATGCTGTTGGGGGTAGATTTGTGGCAGGGAGTGATGGAGGAGACTCTGGAGAAGTGACTTCCTCACGTCACCTGCAGCCTTCCCGCAGCCTCACGCTAACCGACACCAGACTGTCCTTGTATCTCTCCTTCAGGTTCAGCCCCTCAGCATCATTCAGCTTGCCTCTGCGGTTCGGCTCCTCCACTGTGTGGCCTTCTCCCACAGGATAAACTCTCAGAGTTTGGGGTACATTTCAAAATCCAGGAGATCGTTGTTCATACTTGGTTGGGTAATGGTGGCTATGGCATGGATTTTGTTTTCTTCAATTGGGTGGTGCAAGGCTGAACGCGTTGTTGCTTTTATTTTTTTGGGTGATTACAAATGTGTATAGATTTAGGTGAATGTTTGTAAAACTAATTATTTAAATATAGTTACCATTTACTGAGTAGGTCCTGTGTGTCAGGCACTTGTATATAAACTGTCCTTTTCCATTCTCATGACATCCTTTTGAGTAGGAACCATGGCTCCAAGAGGTGATGTGACAGTCTCAGTCACCCACTCCAGTCTGTGTCTGCTGCACTGTGACACCTTCTTTCCCTCCACCACCCTCCTGAATTTTTCTTGTGAACAGAGTCCTAAAGCACCTTGATTCTGCATTCAAGGTCCTTTATGATTCACCCCGCTGGCCTTTGCAGTTTGTAGGTTCTCTCTGTCTCAGTATTCCCATTTACCTCTCAGCCACACTGTAACTTCTGCCACTTTCCTCAGACAGCCTGGGGACCCTTCTCCACTAACTTCTTATCAAGAAACTGGAAGGGAAAGAACTAGCATTTATGGAATGTGCTCTGCCGGCCAGGGCCTGTGCCATGTGCCGCACATTCAAAAGTTTAGTCAGTCTCTACAAATGTCCTATGAGGGAAGTTTAGGGAAGTTACATGACTTTCCCAAGTTCACAGAGTTAGCAGGTGGTGGATTAAGGGTGTGAATCCACGTTCCTTCTACTAATTTTATGCTAGGGTTGGACCCCGAGGAGGATAATATCCCACGTGTGGAGTCTGAAGAGGGCATTCCAGGTGAGAGACCCTGCACCGTCCAAGGCAGGGGTGTGTGAGGCCTCTGAGAAGGGGGAGAATTCAGTTTGTCTGAGGTCTCTGGTGGTGGAGGTGGTGCTGGGCTCAAACCTGTGAAATTACGCACCTGTTCCTGGTGGTTAAGATCTGACTTCTGTGCTCCGTGGAACTTCTGAGGAGCGGTGCAGGAGTTGTGTGAGTGAGTGACTTATGGTGCTGTCGTGTGTGGGCCTCCATCGCTTGGGCCTCCTGGCACTGCTGCGCTTGCTGCAGAGTCCTTCTTCCCAAAGCAGGAATGATGTGATTTAATTGGAAACGTGCTAAACCTGTAAAATTATCGCCGAGGAATGGTGTAGTCATGGAAACAAGTAATTCAGCGAAAGCAGCTTCTAGGGAGCCCCTCAAGAAGTGGGAAGAGATAACATGTGTTTCTTCAGATTTCCCAGAAAGACTCCTTTCCCTGTCCAGCTAGCACCAGTCATGTCTGTCCATGTTCATGACTGTTTTTTTTTTAAAGATTGGCATCTGTGCTAACAACTGTTGCCAATCTTCTTTTTTTTTCCCCCTGCTTTTTCTCCCCAAATCCCGCCAGGACATAGTTGTATATTTTAGTTGTTGGTCCTTCTAGTTGTAGCATGTGGGATACCGCCTCAGCCTGGCCTAGTGAGAGGCGGCATGTCTGCGCTTAGGATGCAAACCGGTGAAACCCTGGGCCGCCGAAGCAGAGCATGCGAACTTAAGCACTTGTCCATGGGGCTGGCCTCATGACTGTTTTTTTTGTGTGTGCCTTGTGAAGAATCTCCTAGGATTGAAAATGGGGATTGTTGGAGTGGTTGCATATTAGAAATGATATTCCTGTAAGCCAGTCTCTACAGTATGGCCTCTCTGACCCTCAGTTTCCCCATCTGTGAAATAGAATAATTAAGCTTCCTTCATAGGGTTGTTATGAGGCTTAAATAATGGAAGAACCTGGCAGGGAAAAGAAATAAAGCTGGGTCAAATCAAGAAATAATAACGAACTGGGCCTTCATTCTTGTTTGTGAAGGTACAAATTGAGTCTGATCAGTAGCTGCCCTCCTGGTTGTTAACAGCAGTCTTGGTGTTGGCACGCTAACAAGGTCACCAACCTGGTGTCATCGTTGGTCAGTTGCTTAGAATTGCTTAGCCCTGTTTTCCCCAATGACAGTGAGCCTAGTACCCACCTTGTGAATTAGATACTATGGGTGCACGATGTGGCAGCGAGAATAGAACATGGCGAGAGCCCTCCCTAGAAGTGCCAAAGCTCAAGGACGCCCTGTCCCCAGCTGGGACTGCAAAAATGCCTGGGGAACAAATGGAAGGCTTCTCATCTGAGTTGGCCTCTGCTGAGTGTGTCACTTGAGGCTCCCCACAGCTTTGCCCATTGGAAGCATCCAGCTTACAGCCTCCGGGGCTGGACCCCACAGAAAATATGGGAGCTGGCCGAGCCCTGGAGCATAAAGCACTTTGAGAGGCTGTAACAACTGCTGAACAGTCAGAGAGCCAAATCCAGCGTAGATCACTGCAGCCATTTATCATAGTGTGTGTTCTGGCTGCTCCATCTACAATATTGCTCTGTAAACACTTCACACCTGCTTATAGCCAGCTGAAAGGCAATTTGGAAATCCTAACAAAACCAAAGCTTGCCAGGAGGTGGGGGAGCCAGGCCTGCCTTTGTTCTTTGTGCACATTTGGTTCTGGGAAGCTTGTTGGTATGTGCCCACCCTTGTCAACGTCTTGTCTTTAAAAGTATCAGAGAATAGGTATAATAGCCACAGCCATAATAGTAGCAGCTTCCTTCCTGGGCATCTCCCATGGGAGCCATGTATTGTGCTGGCTGGTTCTTGCGAGAACTAGGGTTTGAACCTAGAATCTGGGTGCTCATACACCTGCACATCCTGTGGTCTCTCATTGCTGCTCTGAAACCCTACAGAGTCCATCCAGTGTCCCAGTAATTCATTTAAAACGCCTGAGCCTCAGTTTCTTCATCTGCAAATTGGGGAGAAAAATCTTTTTCTCACAAGGTTGTTAGTGAAGATTCATTGAAATAATACTTGTGCAGGTATTTTATTAAAAACAATACACATGGGGCCAGCCTGGTGGCGCAGTGGTTAAGTGTGTACATTCTGCTTTGGCGGCCCGGGGTTCGCTGGTTTGGATCCTGTGTGTGGACATGGCACCGCTTGGCAAGCCATGCTGTGGTAGGCATCCCACATATAAAGTAGAGGAAGATGGACACGGATGTTAGCTCAGGGCCCATCTTCCTCAGCAAAAAGAGGGAGATTGTCAACAGTTAGCTCAGGGCTAATCTTTCTCAAAAATCAAAACAAAACAAAAACAATACAAAAAAACCCCCAATACACAGTTTGGGGAAGAGGGACAAAAATGGGCGTTGCCTGAATGTACAAGTTGAAGGGTTGGCTGACGGCTTCTCCAGAACTTTCTCCACCTGTTTAGAGAGCAGACAGAGGCTGGACCTCCTCTCATCCAGGTGCATCACACACCCACCGTGACAGAGCCCACTTGGCCTGCATCCTGCCTGCCTGTCTGCAGATGCGCCATATGGCGGCCTGCGTTCTAAAATTAGAAAGTATTTTGAAGTGAAGGAAAGTGAAAGCACAACATATCAGTTGTGGGATGCCGCTAAGCACTACTCCTGGGGAAATTTATAGTACTTAATGCCTATGTTGGAATAGAAGAATGATCTCAAATCAATAGACCTCAGCTTCAACTTCAAGAAAGTAGGAAAAAAAATGCAGAAATTA